CTACGCACAAATATATGGACACGTTAGACCAGAGCGAATCAGTCTTTACCGGTACTTTTGACGCTACCGGTACCCTCAAAAAAGTTCTGAATTTCCAGTAGCAAGAATTTTGCAGAATCAAAACGTACAGCCACTCATGACACTGACTAAAATTCGTGTTCCCATGGATAAAAAATAATACAGCAAAATTTTAGACGAAATATCAAATTTCAGAGAATTCACGCAAAATTTTGAAATAAATAAAAGTAATAGCCTTCTAGCGAAGAAATTAATCTTTAACCACTGAAAATTTCAAAGCAATTGATCCAGTATTCGAAGAGAAAAGCGATTTTTTTTAAAAACGTGTCAAAGAACAAGAACAAGAACAACAACAACATAATATTGAAACGATCGTTATGGCCACTAAACGTGTCCAATAAGATCTCCCTGTTGTTATTTAAATTAATTGACACTATGACGAATTTCAAAAGTGAAATTGCTAAATGCAAATATTTCGTTTATCAAACCGAACTACATAAAGTTATGGCATGGATATAGGAAATATAAGAATTACCGTTTAATATATTTGGGCCAAAATGAACTGAAATGGAAATTTAATAAAATAAATGTTACGACAATTGATATAAACAAAGTTTAACTATTCAAGATTGTGCAAATATGTAGCCTAATGTACACATTTCGTTGTTTCATGCAGAAAAAAATCAATTTTTATGGTACTACATCTAAGAACGCAATAATAAATACAATCTTCTTTCGTAACCAAAGAAATATCAAAAGATATTGAATTTCAACGTAATTTTTACGTAAACCGGCCATAAAAAATTAGAAAAAAGCTACCGAAAGAGGTATTGCACGGACAACGTTATATTTTTCATAACATGTTTACATATACGATATTGGATATGATTCCGTGGGATTGTTTATGTACTTAGGTTAACTCAATTATCAATAAAAAAACGTTGAAAACATTGTAAAGATCTATCATATTTTACCATAACATTTTTTGTATATACTTTACCAGTATTACATGTGCGTACATTTTCAATTTTTTGATGTTGAATATCGTTCGCTGTAATTTCTGTTTGCTGTTGACAAAACCTGAATTGTCTGCAAGTAGCGCAATAATGAGACACCGTCTTCTTTTTAAATTGACTCTTATAATAGAATTTCTTTGAAATGTTTTATATAGTAGTAATATATAGGATTACTATAAACGAAAGAAGATAACGAGAATCGTAATTCTAATTACATTTAATAGAATTTAACTCAAAGACTTACTCAAGTTACAGCTCATTAAATATAATTTGATATATTACTTTTATATAGTTAATACATGTGAAACAGGGGATCCTTTTCTTATAAGGATATCCTTATAATTATACGATTAAGCCGCAAGGAAATTTTTGTTAATGAATTGTTTGTACAGAAAGGTGTTAAAATTTACACAAGTGACGTCAAGCACTTCTACTTAGTAAGCAATTATATTTTTGTAATTATTTCATTATCATTGATTTTAAGTGTTAATAGTGTTCGCGTGTGTCCGGCGACGAGAAATTTTCTCTAAATTTGGAAGTTACAGCGTTCGTGAAAATTCCGTAATTGTTATATTGTACAAATAACTGATGAATTAGGCGAAAGTTATTATGAGGGTGTTTAAAAAAATTCTAATCTTACGAAACCAAATTATTTATATATTATGAATGTTTTTTATTTTAAAACAGAAAATATTAGGATTGGCAGAAACGAATTAACAATATAATAAATTAATTTAAGGGTGAAAGTTTAACATTTATATAGACAGTATATACTTCTGAAATCTTATCTTCAGCAATATTTGGTCTAAAGGATGTTGAGGACTTTCATAACAGGAATAATATGCAACTTGATACGTCCTGGAGCAATTATGTATATATATAAAAATGTTTATCTCAATTTTGAAACAATGATTTGAATGTATGTAAAATTTGAATAAATAACCCTCTAAATTAATAATTTTTCTATTTATTTTTACTTCACATAATTCCGGAAAATTAAAATCAATAAATTATTTCAAACATAGAACCTAATAGAATTTATTAAAAAGCTTGCAGCAATGGATGACTAGATTGCTAAGAAGCAGGAAAATTGCAGCCATCACAAATACCCAAGAAAAATGTATTTCGTGATACATTTTTGATTTACACCGCAATATTATCATAAATTCCAAATTATAAATCGTGGTAACTGTTTGCAATTTGCGATAGTCAGAATTAGTGCATTTTTGTTTAAATATTTAGATATACTTTGAATAGAACAACGACTTGAAGTAAAATTATTAAAGACTAGTTCCTGTGGCGGTGTATGCTCTTGCGGCGGTTTATATCGTCAATGCTGTTTTTAAATCCCCGTGACATAAATAAAGACAAACAAGGCAATGATCACCTCAAGCTCACGATATTTGCGAACCAATTAATTGAACTTTGTCATTAAAAGCTTTCATAATATTTTTCCTGTAGCCCGACGCGTAAACAAAATTTATTGCCGACTGATTGCAAGTGCGTCAATAACAGTAATGCCCACGTATGACAGCTATATCATTATGTAATGTTTTGACAGCCCCGTTACAAAGAATTTGTGCTGCTTTTTTAATATTTTTCCTGTACAATAGTATTCTGAGAAATGACGTTTGAGCCAGCGCGAGAAATTAAAATAATATTTTTACACTCAGACAAACTCTTTATTGTTCTTTGCATCACTGGGTTATAAAATCTACACAGAGAAAGATCCAAAAGATCGATATTTTTTTTTTTTTTTCAAAAGAACTTTATCAAACTATCCCGACAGAATGTGATCAGTATCAAATGTACAGACGTTTGTAGAAAAAAATTCGGTGTATCAATCCTTAAATTTTTAAAATCGTAGTTTTTTAAACATAAAAACGATATAAAATTTCGTGAAGTATATCAAATTAATTAACTCCAAAGACGCGAATAAAACAAACATGATGAAGCTTTGAACAAGGAATCGTTTAGTATTTAATATTTGTGTTGTCGGTGAACAGAACCTCAATATTGAAGATAATCATCCAGATCATATATCAACAACGTGATAACAACAATAAATATAAGAATAGTTAATTAATTTTCGTTTTAGAAAAACCAGGTAGAGGAAACAATTAATCATCGTAAATTGATTATTCATTAATTTTGACTTTCCTGATTTAATTATAGGAATTTTTTCAAAACTTTTTGAAAGCAGCTTTGGGACATTTACTTATAATAAGTGTTCCATGTCAATATTGAATTTGAGGGAGGGTGGGGTAAAAATATATTTAAATAAAATGCGTACGTCGATCGATTACACGAAAAATGCCACAAAGGAAATTAACGTGAATGAACTTTTCGAGTCATGTATAGAAGATATGGTATCAGGCAAGGTTGTGCTATCATCATGGTTTTATTATTTATGTAATATAAATTCGTTTAGAAATGCGAAAAAACTTAAAACTTCGAGAAAAATCAACTAAAAAAATTACAATTCCGTTGTTTAAAAAACTATGTTTGGGTTCTACAAATTTTGAATTTGGATACGTTTCAATCTTCATTTTTTGGATTATATTATTTATGTTCTTAAGATATTTCCTACAGATAATGAAGTAAAAGTTGTTATTTTGGGGAAACACAAAAAACTAAAATACCTTTCATTTTCAATTATAAAATTACATAAAAGCAAAATATCAGAATATTTCACATAATTTTAACCCTGAACGGAAACGCTTCACTGACGAAACGCTGACAAAATCGTCGATTGTCCAAAACGGTACGGGGTGGTACGAACTATAAATTGTTTATCAGATAAGCTGTGGCAATCGTTTCGCATATTTCGTAGTATGACTAAGAACCGCTCGACCCGTATTTTTTCAGGAAACTTACTCATTTTTAACGGAGTTGTGGGCAAGTAAGGATATAATTCAAACATGTTCCATTGTTTTCATATTAACTCTCATTCACTATAAGTCTATTTATCAAATGATAGCTAAACACAAAGATTGGTAACTGAATTTTTTATTACTAAGAAGAAAATAAATTTAAATATTGTTATCGCAATTTCTGATAAACAAAATAGAGAAGTTAATCAAAATGTTCAAAAAGTAGCAGTTCGTCAACACTTTCTGTTTAGAGTCATTAATAAAAGTTAAATTACGACAAATATAAAACATAAATTTTGTCTATACATCCCACGCAAGGTGGACTAAATCGAATGCGTGTCATTTGACGATACCTGACCAACGTTGTTTATAAATGAGTGTGTTGTTTGTTTACGTTACAACGTCCATTTGCCTTCTAAATAAAAACTTTTGCGTTGCTCGTACAATTTGACATATTTCGAATTTTAACCTGTAACCCGATTTAATATTGTATCAAACCAAAAAATATTGAATAGCATGTCAAATCTGATAACGTTTGTCAAAGTTGTTTTATTACAAGATGTGGAATAAAACTTTACAACAGTTTTTTTTTATCGGCAAAAACCGTATGTGCTATCTTTCCTGGCTTAACAAAATAGCAAATATTTTCAGAAGAAATATCTATAAAGTTTTGAATATACAATGATTGTGATTAATATTCAATACGTCGTTATACCATCGGGCATTCGAATTTTTTGGCGTATCATGATTTTTCTTAGCAGCCCCCTTTCTCGACAGTTTGAACTGAAATGAAGAGCATGATCGTCAACTATGATTATTCGACTTTTTGCAAGGCAAAAGAGAACAGTGTTCTGTGTACCGTTTCTGTTGTCCACCATATCGTTAATATCATATAAAATACCTCTGACGTTTTAGCGTGCCTCGGGCCAATCCATGAAGTTGAATGCAGTATATCACGAATAGATAGAAACGATATTATTTTTTCTCATCAATCTTTTTTCGTCGAGGGCTACTTAAATTCTGGCGATAAATAGGCGTGAAAATCACGACCAGAATCATGTCTAAGGCATACGTCTGTGGAGTACTTCCGTTCAAAAAGAATTAGTAAAGAGCGAAATAATGTATAAAGTGCTAGTAGAAGATGAATGTCTGTTTTTAGATGGTAGTAATTGGCAGTAATGTGGTGAAACATCTGCTCAGCAGCTCAGACACTTGATTTGATGAATTGGGGTTGGTGGCAAATATATTTTTTAGGTGTTATGGATAAATTAAAATACAGACATTTAGAATCAACATACAGAGTGAGATTCTCAAATAAACATCTCGCGTTAGATAAAAGTCGTTAGTTTAGCAACCGAGGTGAATTGCGCATCACAGAGGAGATTCTCTTCTGTATTGATTACGTCAAAATTAAACGAACGTGATTAAATATATATATATATTTCTGCTATAAAATGAAAAATGTCTCGCAACCGAGGTGAATTGCGCATCACAGAGGAGATTCTCTTCTGTATTGATTACGCCAAAATTAAACGAACGTGATTAAATATATATATATTTTTGCTATAAAATGAAAAATGTCTCATATAATAAAAGTTTGCTTTTTAAACTAAAAAAGACTTTAACTAGACCGATTCTGAATGTATGATCTCTAACCGCTATGAAAACAAAAATGAGCTCAACGCAATACCCAATGAATTTTGCTCTTTCTTTTAAAGATTGAATCAAAGCTTACATGTTACAAAAACTCATATTCATTGACAACATATATACCCAAACCTAAACATTATCTCGTCATCGTGTAACAGCGAACGACATAAATTAAATAAAAAGGTTGCATAAAAATCAGTGCTTATAATTAATCAGCAACTTACATTGGGTATTATAACGTTTCTGTTGAACTAAATACAATTGAACTTTAACAATAGCCTATCATATTTTCTTATTTCAGCTATACTTGTGGCGCTATACTACCATAACAATGAGAAAGATATTGCTGGCACTGCTATGCCTTGGTGCACTCGGGATTGTTCATTGTGACAACGTATTTTCACTTGAAGAAACTGAAGAAAATGTAGAAGTTGTAGAGGAAGATACCGAGCCTAATTTTGGAAATTTGGGATTAGACGAAGAAACGGTTATTCAAATGACATCGACATTGACAAGTATGAATTCTGATCGAACAGTATTTCAAAATTCAGTAATTACGTATTGGATGACCGAGATATATTTAGAAACTTCAGAATATCATATAAGTTGTAAATATTTTTACGCAAGGAAACAGAACATAAAAGTTGTAAATCGCTAATATACGAAATCACCCGTGGTCATATTTGCTTTATTAGCTATATATACATCAATATCATTTAGTTTCAACAGATGAAAAACTTCTGGTGTTGGTGGCGTACAATGTGTTATTATCATTTTTTTTTAAATTTCTCCAAACTCAGTGTGAGAAAAAAATGCACTCTAGTAAATGTTAATGCAATTTGAGTAGTTTCAATACAAAGTTGTAGTAAATCAAATAAATCGTGAAAAAATGATCCGTTAAACAAAGATAAATATCAAAATAGTGTAACTTTGGTTTAAAGCAAGCATTCTTCTCGCCATCGATAAGAAGATAGTAATATTACGCAAAAACTACAATATTTCAGGTTTGGTCTGTCGAGTACCAAAACGAAAACAACAAAAATGTTTACAAAAGAACATTACTGAAGCAAGATGTAACAAAAAGAATTGCTGCTACGACGACACTAATATTGTAAGTATTAAGCGAGAAGGTAATCTGAATCTTTTATAAAACTGATAAACCACGAATGAAATTCACGTGTATTTTTAAACATTTATAGTAAAGATTAAACAGAGATGTGCTCTAGTTAAAAAGAGGTATATGACTGACATATGAATGGTCTGGCAATTTAATTGTAGCTTGAGAGCGTGCGTTAAGTTTCAGTTCAAATAAACAATATGAACAGATATTTGATAAACTTGACTTTGTTACAGGATAAGCCAAAATGCTTCAAAAGAAATACGCAACAATACGCAAGATCAAAAGCAGAAGAAGTCCTATCCGCTATGTTGGATGATGATTCGTCGAGAAAGACCATGTATCGGATAACGACCATTGTAGACCATTGGTTAAATTGCGTGTTCGAAGGAAAAAGGCTTCGAAGATTTTGTGGTAACTTTCTTCTGTTCGGATTCTTCAATGAACAATAAATGATAAGTTAAAATACGATGATTCAACTTTCTGAAGTCTACGCGGTCATTTGAAGAAAATTATGACGCAGTTACAATGACGATATATGAATGTAGACTGCGGATAATATTTTAATAGTTGCTGGTAGAAATAGTATGAATACATAAATAATCCTATTATAAGTTAAACCTGTTCTTGCAATATTTAGAAACCTTGATCCCTTGCTATGCGGACTGTTTTTAAATCGTTATTTGATACCACATCACAATTTTCATAATTATTATGAATAACAATTAATAAACAATATATCATTTTGCAGACAGAACTTATTTACTGGGAGATAAAAGAGTATATTCCAACCCCCGTACGCCAAGAACATACAATCCAAAGCCTCAGCCGTACAAACCAAAACCCAAGCCATACAATCCTAAACCATACGTGAAACCAACGAGAGTGTATCGACCCCGTCCAACACCAACACCAACCAAAAAAGAACTAGAAATTGAAGAATTTTTGAAGCCTTTAGTAAACAATTTCAAGCGGACGAGAGAATATTTCTTGGCAAATCTCATAAACGAACAACAACTTGAACTCATTATTGTCATTTCACAATTTACACCGCAAGAAGAAGTTATGCTTAGATCTGCAACGCCTACACCTTCGATACAAATTTATACCACAAGACCAACAGCTCCCCGTAAGTGTTTGTTACAAGATATTCCACCTTTTACAACAAATATTCGTTCTTATTGCTATTAATGAGAAGCGGCGTGAATAATGTAAAATATGTTTTTTATATTAAAACGCTAAATGACAGCTAGATCACTAACTCAGAAGTGAAGAGAATCCACGACCAGGGTAGTGAACAATTGAGATAAAATCAAAAATTCAATAACCGATGAAATCGGATCCTGAAAATTTTGAAGAGAAATATTTAAGATAAATTATTTAAATGGTAATGTTTGTTTTATCAAAAATTGATATGTCATCATTAATATTATAGATTTGAAATATTTCTTCACTTTGTATTTCAGTATGAATGAATTTATTCCAACATATTCGCTATATACTCGAATATTTATATATAATGGGTTTCTTAAATGACGGAAATGTATATTTTCATGTGCAGGTTGTGGATGGTATCCATGGGGTGGCTGGAGTGCCTGCGAAGGCTATTGTGGAATGGGAGTGAGAAGAAGAATGCGTCGTTGTAATGGATGTATTCCAGGTGAAGGTGCATGTCAAGGAAACTGCTTTGATTACAAGTGAGAAATTATAAATAATATTAAATTATTTTTTTAATTTTGCAGTATTTATTTTCAAAAACAGTCTACGATAGAAATATGAGCAGTCAAGATAGTCGCATGAGTTGAGTTAGTGTCATCAATTTTTTTATAGCTGTAAACAAAAAACTGTATAAAAATAGAAATCCCTACCTTATTACATATCTAATTCATAACTATTCAAATCAAGTAGCATTAGCGAGTAGTATAATAAAAAATTCAACAAACGTTTGAAATTATTATTGATTCCAGTAAGCGGGCCGAATTTTGTGTCTTCAATTATTTTCAAAATCTTACCATTGTATATTAAGGATAAGATTTTTAGTTAGGCCAAAGACTGTAATCCATTACCATTTCTCTTTTACTTGTTTCGCACAGAAAATGTGCCAATCCTGTTGGCAATCAGTGTGGTTACTGGAGTGGCTGGTCAGGCTATGGTCAATGCAGTACAAGTTGCGGTAAAGGATCACAAACTAGAACGAGAGTTTGCTATGCGGCATCCGTGGGGGAACCAGGTAAATTAATCGGATTTTTATCATCTCAAAATTTATGAATCTAAATGGAAAATATTTTGAGGAATAATATTAAAAAAAAATGCTACAACGTTAGTACATGATTTCCCAATTTCGTATTATGCTATCACTGACGTGCTGTGATTGCGACGTATCACAACAAGTCTAAAAATAAATACAAAAAGTGCGAGGATGGTACAGAACGATACAAGTCTGATGATGATATTTCTCTCGTTCAATGAAATGAAAGAACGTTGATTGTTTAGGAAGTGGTTTTAGCGTTAAATTAGGTTGTCAACGCAGTTCTTACGTGCTTATAAAACATTTCTGCATCATCTAAGAACATGTAATATTGAATTGATAGCACAGAATCGACAAAACAATTATGCAAAATTTTCTTCACCAAAAATATCGAAGTGCAATTACACTTTAAAAAAAAAGTTTTTGCTGTCGAAAATTTACCAAAATAGGTTCATTTTAAAAACAAATTACGAGTATTTTTTTGTTGTTGTCAAATTCAAAATACTAGTAAACTTTTTGTGGTACGACGTAGAGTTGACATAATTGGCTGATAAAAGTGTAAAATTACCAATTTCCAGTGTCACCCACGCAGGTTATTTGATACCAATAAAAAATATCCAAAGTGGTGCCGGCGAGACAATTTTTATAGATCGTATCATTTTCAACAACCTTAAATTAAACTAATATCTGTATAGCAGAAACTTATTACTATGACATGTTACACAACAGGTTGTATTGGTGTTACTTCGACCTCTAGAGAATGTCACATCGGAGATGGATCCTACAGCGCGTGGTCTGATTGGACGCCATGTTCAGCGTCCTGTGACGGGGGATTTTCAACCAGGAAACAGGTATTTAGACTTACTTGCTTATGTGACATCACAATTCTTTTTCAGCTTTGCTTTGAACAAAGCCACGGACGTGTGGTAGTAGAAACAGAATCCCCGTATGATTGTCTTTCTTGCCCAATCCAATCTGTAAACCCATTATATCATAGGATACGTTGTTGTGAAGACCTAATGAAAAGTAGATTGAGTTTACTCATAAAGATATTGTTTTTGATTTTTAGATACATACATGTGCATTGGACGACAAAATCGAAGTCAGAGCTTGTAATGAACAACCGTGCTGTGGTAAACTGGGATGGAGCATCTGGTCGGCCTGTTCAGTTACATGCAATATGGTATGGTTTCTACTTTCATTTGCGACAAAACCTATGCTGTTCTGTCCATATTTTCTAAACATATATATATATATAACGCTTTACGTTTTACTTCAAGGGTGTCCAAAGACGTACACGAGCTGACGTGTGTCCAGAAATACCAAAAGAAACAGAAGCACAACCATGCGACGCAGGTACGTTCAAGAAGAGAAAAAAAACGAAAAAAATCTTGATCTAAAAAAAGCCATATCACAATATAAGACTGCGGGACAGGTGATTAGTCACTGAACCGGTGCAGAACGGTCGCTTAACGGAGTTTTTTTTTATATAAGCAATAACTTAAAAATGATATAATTAAACAATTTATTAGTAAAAGGTGACCAAGAAATACAATACATGGAGATGTTGGATGTACTCCCATCGCCAGCAGCAAATATCTTACCCCTTCACATAGTTACAAAAAAATTTGAAAAACAAGATTTACTGGACTCACCAATATTATTTTCTTTCATTCATAAACAGGTCCAGGAAACTACGGAGATTGGTCCTACTGGGAATCTTGCTCGACAACTTGTCCTGGTGGATTTCAATCCCGCCGACGAAGTCACTCATGTGGGTTAGATGACGAGTTTGATGTACGTCAGTGCGGTCAGCCAGGCGTGTACTTGGAATGGTACGTTATTTTCTTTACACAGTGAGCGCTTTGAAACGAGAGCAAAATTCAAATGGATACTCCTGAGGTATGCGCACCGAGATGGCGCACAACCTGAACCCTAACCTGGTACACAACCTGAGTTCAGGTTGTGCGCCATCTTGGTGCGCATACTTCAGGAGGTCTTTCAAATGTATGGAGACGAAGGTCGCACATCGATACCCGAAGCCTCCAAGCACCGAGTTTGCTGAGAACGGCGACGTACAAGCGTGACGAAGGCAGTCAACGTAACGGAATAAAAAAAAGTTTCTTCTAATCAAGATACACAGCAAAATTATGTGTAAAATATAGTGTTCTATCTATGGGACAAATTAAAAAAAAAAATGAAATTTTTAAATAATAAAAGTAATGACTCGATAGCGACGTCAACCATCTTTACGCAATGAAAATTTGAAATAAATCGTCCCTTTAATTGCGGCAAAAAACTGTTTTATAAACAACTAAAAGAATTCAACAAACGATCCATATTTATACGGTGTGAGGGTTCCATTACATTTGAACCCACGTACATTTGAACCCACGACGATTGCACCGGCATACTATTGCACCTATGGAAATTTTTGTTGTTTTACGGATATTTGAACCCATACTAACCCTAACCCATGGGTTTAGCACCCGCATATAGATTAAAACCGCGAATATACACATGGGTTCAAATGTACGTGGGTTCAAATGTACGGTCACCGGTGTGAGCAATAATAACAATATTAAGGTATAGCAAGTATCTTGGAAACGCTTGTTCGGAAATTTTAAGAGTTTAAAGTTGAATTTCAAAACAGAAAGCTATTCGCAATTGAATTCTACAAATTGGAATTTAAATTGCCGGGCATTTCTTACTTGGGTTGTTGAAAACAATTTGTTTTACCGAATAATGTTTTCAGGTCTAACTGGACTCCATGCTCAAAGAGCTGTCCGGGTGGTACCAGAGCCAGATCACGAATTCATACATGCGAAGCTGAAGAATTTGAATCAGAGACGTGCGGATTTCCTGGTACATGGGGAGAATGGTTGGCCTGGTCTAGTTGTTCTTCTACTTGTCCTGGTGGCAGCAGAGTTAGAGTAAGATACGATTCATGTACCAACGAACAGGACACACAGATCGAAGATTGCGGAGAAATAGGTAACCTTTCATACTACAGCTAAAACACATTGTGATGAATGGATATCACTGTGCATAATCAAACATAAAAAAGCATTAGTGTCAAAAATAACAGAACTTCATGTACATGCTCGCCTATGCTGCTCGCAAAATAAGAAAGCGATGCTAATATATATAGACAGAAAGGTCAAAACGAAGTAGTACGGTATTCAATCTTCTGTAGCAGTCTACCAGAGCGCAGTCTTAACGACTAATCATAACCACTAACGCGAACGCGAAACAGACACAAGGTGCGCAATTTTTTAATTTCGATGACGTTATCGCACACAAAAAAACGAACCACATAGAACCCACAGAATTGTTTGAAGTAAAAACAATGCTTAACCACTGAAAATTTCAAAGCAATTGGTCCAGTAATGAATAAAAAACACAATTTTTTAATAGGGTAACAACAAGAACGAAAATAAAAAATGACAAAACGATTCATTGGTTCACTTCGTGTCATATAACAATTGTTTGAATGACATGCAAGCTACAACATTTCATCGCAAAACAATGGAACTTTAATGCACAATTGTTGTTTTTCGTGCGGAATCTATTAAACACATTGAGTACATTCATTTGTGGTTACTGCTCAAATTTTTTATTTCCAACATCACTTAATCTATCATTTTAAATGAAGATAGAATGGGTTTTTAATGGCTAATAAAAAAGGCATATCGTCACGCTAATAACCGAATTGCGTAAGTCATTTTTAGCAGTTTTGAGAAAAACGTAAAAAACCTCCTAATGAAATTGTTATGCCATTGAGAGTCAATAATTTGCCATGGTTCAATTTTTTGATCGTAGCCGGATTTAAGTTAATTTCTAAGACGCAGTTAAGTGACGTCACAATGGCGCACCGTGACTTAGGCAGAAATGTGTCTATGACTTGGGGACATACGCAATTTTGCAACTTTACTATATGCACCAGTCCTAAAAACTAAACATTCCAAAAACGAATGTAATTTTTAGTATCTACAATGTCTAATTCCAAAAATAGCTAATCAGTTTCAATTACATTATTTTTTATGTTTAAAAATATATATTTCAATAATATAACACGTTCTGCACACCCACCAAAATAAGACTAAGATTAAATATAAAGAATAAAACAGCAATGCACCCAATATAAAAGCCAACCAAGCTGAATTGGACTCGGACTGTAAATATCACTAGTGCACGTCTTCCTATACTGTAGTATAAATTCAAATTAATACGCGCTAAGCTAGAATCCGAGATGCAAAAACTCGAAAATACTTCGCAGAGGTTATTTCGTCTTTGTGACGTCACAATAATTCTGCGGTAACAATGATAATTCATTATGACGTAACAATTGCATAAAAGTGCATGTCATACTAAATCTCTATTTTTATGGGTTTCGGAATTCTTAAAAAAAAATCTGAGTTAACAGACAGGTGCGCAGCATTACATAAATACCTATTTTATAAAAAACTCAAAATCGCCAAAAATGACGCAATTCGGTTATTAGCGTGACGATATGCTCTTATTAATAACAGAAGGGTAAGAATTTGTACAACAAGTTTAACATACTTGAATTAATAAATTAAAAATAATTAGTCGAATTAATAATATCTTAAACTGCTCACCATCCTGTAGCTGCTATGCTATTAGAGTCATCTTTAAGTTCTTGATGTTTTCAAGCGAATGTGACGTTTAAAAGTTTACAGAGCAAAGCGATTTTGGCTGATTGACATTAGTGTCAAAGAAACGTAAATGAGCTCATTCTTTTTAATGTGGTTGGTCGCATGCGCTCTATAGCTTACCCAACTCTCAGCTACAATACATGAATACTCTAACGTACAATACAAGTCGGTACAGGGGCATGGTTCTGTTTCACATTAACAACGGAGCTGTGTGTTATTGATGACAATAACTAACGTCCACAGTAAAGGAATTATTGATTATCTTTGTTATGTTTGCAGGTGGATACACTAACTGGGGATTCTGGTCAGCTTGCAGTCAGTCCTGTATCGGCGGTCAACGTACTCGTCTCAGGTTCCAAGTGTGTACAAGCGAAAGACAAGTAAGTACACATAGCTAGTGATTGCTTAGTTCAACAACTTTATATTTGAACAACATATCAACTTATCCATATATTCGATACTAACATGCTTAATCTTGCAGGAAGACTCTGAAATTTGTGGATCTCCCGGTAGCTGGGGGAGATGGTCTGGATACAGCGACTGCACCAAGCAATGTGACACCGGTACCCAATTCAGAAGCAGAGTGCATTCTTGTCGTAAGTATGGTTCACAAATAGTATCGAAGCTTAGATCACCAATCAGGAAGTTATTTGAAGTAATTTGAATCATAAGCGCATAATTAGCCCTACGTCGAAAGCAACGAGTAATTCCCCGACAAACAAGTGTTTCTACAAGAATTCCCTACGTTGTGTTTACAAATACATTTCTCCCGAGGGCATAATTGTGATTTTTGAATTTTTCTTGAACACTTAAATATTGTTGATCTGAAAATAACTACAACCAATAAAGAAAACAACAACGGTTTCAATAATAAAATCATTTGTGTTTGAATACAGCTATCGCCTTGCCAGGAAATTCTGATGGTACAGAGCGAGAAATTCGAGTATGTAACGAAAGACCATGCTGTGTATTCTTACAGTGGTCAGACTGGAGTGCTTGTGATGTCACCTGTCTGACTGGACGAAGAAGAAGAGTAAGAAAGAACACTTGTCCTGAAATTGATGATGAGATTGATGTCGAGGTAAATTATGTCCCCAATTGCTCATTTATTTTTTCTACCCGACTTCTTCCACTCTAAGGGTCAACAGGACTAACAAGACTCGGTTTATTTGAACTAAATTTTATTATATAAAATGGTAATCTTTACGTTTTTGTTGTACAGATCTGCAACCAAGGGCCAGGGTTTTACAGTCAGTGGAGTGATTGGTCAATCTGTTCCAAAACATGCCCAGGAGGGTCACAGGCAAGAAGTCAAACGCACAGTTGCGGAGCACAGGACAAGGTCGAAACAAGATTCTGTGGCGAAGATCCAGGTTACGGTGGTTGGGATGACTGGAGTCAATGCACCGTCACTTGCGGCGGCGGAAACCAGTTTAGAAGGCGACTTCACATTTGCGAAATCAAAGATCCAGAAATTCAAGTCAGGTTTGTGGAACGTTTTGTTGAATGTTATAAGTGACTTATAAAGTAGGTTATTCCAAACGTTACTTTGAGAAAATTATTCATATCATGTCATACATGTTTGGTTTAGTTTTCCAAAACGTCGCCTTTTTTTTGTGCGCCATCATACTAATTGATATTTTGAACGATCTCACAGAGAATGCAACACAGATTCCGGAACCTACTTACCTTTCGAAGAATGGAGCAGGTGCTCAAGAACATGTCCGGGTGGTCAACGAGTTCGAACAGCGAAGCATACCTGTGGAATGCAAGATAAGATTGAAGTTGGTGAATGTGGAGGGCCAGGCGGTTACAGTTCATGGTCTGATTGGACCGAATGTAGCAGCACTTGTACTGGTCAACAGGTAACTTATATTTTTGAAATATCAAGTGGACATAGTGAGCGTTGTTTATTGAAATTGTGTTGAAAATGTGAATAGACTAATTTATCAAATACCTTCACCGTTTTTTAACTGTCCCATCAATGTTATGCAGCTTCCATCATACTTGACGAATGTAACTATTGTTATCATTCTTTTTCTTACGTGAAGCATATTCGCTTACTTTTTCGTGTCATCCACTGTAATAATAGCAATGACATATTTTCTAGATTAGACAACAGATTCACAGTTGTGGCCTAAACCCACAAATCGAGAGACGAGTGTGTGGTAGTGGGGGAACTTATTCGGAATGGTCTGACTGGGGACCATGTTCTCAGACTTGTCTTGGAGGAGATCAAATGCGATACAGATTCCATAACTGTGACGAACCTGTCGACACTGAATCACGTATTTGTGGACAACCACCTTTCCATGGACCGTGGTCACTATGGGGGCCTTGTTCCGTTACATGCGGTACTGGAACAAGAGCGCGAAGACGGTCAGGAATTTGTGGAGCTGAAAACGAAGTTGAGGTCAGTTTCACTAAATGTTAATGTTTTATATCCCAATCCAAGTTAGGAAATTATAATTATTGTTTGGTAAAAAAATTTTATCGGCCAGAAATATTTCAAAAGTTATTGTTGTAGCTAATACAAAAAATTCTCATTGGAATATTCGATATATGATGCTAATTCAACAAGGTGTTTTCTGTCTTGGACTTGTATAAATATTATTTTTTGTTTTTAAATGCAGGCTGAACCATGTGGACTTAAACAATGTTGCATTTTGTTGGAATGGACATCCTGGTCATCGTGCAGTACTACTTGCTTTACTGGAGAGCAGGTCAGAACTCGGGCTACAACTTGTTCACAAGGACGTCCAATTGACACTCAAATTCGCGAATGTAATGCAGGAGGTGCGTATTCTTCTTTATTCGTGTAGAATGTATTTCAACAAATGAGATATCGTGGCTATATACAACTATTAATTATTAAAAAGGAAGTTATAGCAGAATGTTGACTTTGTAGAATTTAAATTATATGAAACATATGCACTATTTTTCATACCTCGTCATAAACTCTTACTTTTACCCAGATGGTGAATACGACAGCTGGTCACCATGGAGTCCGTGTCCCAAAACTTGTGGAAGCGCTATTATTTTGAGACAAAGAGAACACTCATGTTTGCCCGACCCTGACAGAGATGTTTCACCGTGCGCCACTCAGCCTTGTCCTGAATGGGAACCGTGGTCAATTTGGGCAAGATGCTCTGTTACATGTTTCAGAGGTTAGTGTGCATTAAAACTACCTCTAACTTCTGCACAATTTTTATACAAAGTTTCCAAGTAATTTTCAAAGCTTATATTGTAAGTTCAAATAAAAGTGTAATACGAATGTCATTCATTGGGCTGTTTTGAATTTTGAGGATTGGAGAAATGACATCTTGCACATGGCTGACTTTGTTCATTATTTTCGTAAAATTCAATTCAAACAAATCTTAAAAAACTTTGACAATCAATGACAATCTATTGGATTATAATGTATATATAGATATGGTCGCGGCGAGCAATGCCAAATGTAATCTCGGTTTGAGAAACTTGCTTGTTGTGCTTACAGGAACAAGAATTCGAAGCCGGCAATGTAGAAACGGTAAAGTTGGAATGATTGGTTGTGACGGAGAAGCATTAGAAACTGACAGCTGTACCATATCAATGGGCCAATGGACAGAATGGACCCGATGGACAAGATGTTCGGTGTGTAATTTAGAACGTTTTATCTCATATGAGTTCCCTGTTGGTCATTTGTAATACGTTGCTATTACTACTCACATCAAAGTTATGCAAATAAACCAACAACAAAATGAAAATATACTGAAATTGATTCCTATTACTTATGCGGTTGTTTTCTATTAGGCTACCTGCAAAGGAGGATTCCAAACGAGAACCAGATCTCATACTTGCGGACTTGACGACGAAATAGAGACACAAGTGTGTAATACACAACAAGGTTAGAAGTGTTTCACAATCCGACCAACTCTAGATATAAATGTAATATTTTTAGTATAAATGAATTTGGAATAGATGTCACAAACCACCAGTTGCGTTTGCTAGAAGAAATGTATTTAAAATATAGCGACGCTTACGATTTATTTTAGTATACCAGCCAAATAACACATTTCAGTACTTGTTTAATATACATGACTAATAATTTTTACAAATCAGGCGACTGGACGAACTGGGAATCATGGACTGATTGTAGCGTAACTTGTGGTGGGGGTTATCGTTCAAGAACACGGGGTCATACATGTGGTGAACCGGATGATTCGGAAGTGGATGTATGCAACACTTACCCAGGAGACTACGGACCATGGTCTGTATGGTCACAATGTACTAGAACGTGTGGAGGAGGCACTCATACCAGGGTAAGTGGTTGTGACTACTGATAGTTTTATGTACCCTTTCTATTTATAATTTTGGTTAAATGAACGCTTACAGACTCGACGCCATTCGTGCGGCCTCGACGATCAAATCGACACAGGAGATTGCAACACATTTGGTGGTGCTTGGACGGTCTGGGATCAATGGACAACCTGTTCGAAGTCATGTGGTGGTGGACTTAGAACTAGAAGAAGATCACACACTTGCGGACTTGATGATCAATACGAACCGCAGGTACGTCCACAGAACATTAAATACTATTCACATATTTTTGCACCATATTGCAAGAGAATTGCTCATTTTGCATGTATGATCTCACACATAACATCATATTTATTCGTTTGAAACACTGTGAAACCAATATTTTAGCGACTATGACAATTGAACGATTACAACTATTTCTGTTGGAATTACCGCTTAATATAAAAAAAAAATTAACATATATGTATGTATGTATTCATGTACACGTTGTTCGATTATCTTAACCTTAACATCAATTCAACAGTACAGAATACAGTCACAACACCATCCATATTAGAAAACTAGATTGTATGTCTTCATGAAGTGTTGTTATTCCATGTTTGAACAAACACTATGTTTTTATATTCGATATAGGCCTGCAATGAAAGAGATTGCGAAATGTGGTCAGGCTGGACGGAATGGAGTAGATGTTCTGCAACATGTAAAAACGGAATCCAAATTCGTACCCGAGAGTGTCAATACGGACAAGCTGGCATGGCTGGATGTTTGGGAGATAATGTGGAAAATCGAGAATGCAATTTGGGCAATGGCGAATGGAGTGATTGGAGCGATTTTACACCATGCTCTGCAACTTGTAAAGGTGGTGAACAAACCAGGTGCGAATTTTACGAAGTCCTTTACATGGTGTTGTTAGCCCCAAGATAAAAACATTTTAAACAATGATTTATTATTCCATAATATTTTGCATATTAGATTCCGAACACATAACTGTGATCTTGATCCCGAAGTGGAAGTGGTTCCTTGCAACACTCACAGAGGTACATATGGACCATGGACAGATTGGACACGTTGTACAGCATCATGTGGAGGAGGAACTCACGTTAGATCTCGCTCACATACTTGTGGTGAACCCGACGAAGTTGTAGCCGAACCTTGTAACACATTTGAGGGTAAGTGCCCTGTATATTAAAGTATATATTCTTACCCAATTGCGAGCTATCAGACTTTCATTCCAATCAATATTTTAATAATGGCTTGGTAATTTATAAACCGTCGTTCCAGCCGGTTTGAACCAGCATTTACAGGTTTAGAAAATTGCTTATATTATTGAGCACAGTTGCAGTTACTATTCTTTACGATAACCAAGCCAAGTTGAAGAAGAATGCATGAATTTATTTTTTATTATTACTTTGTAGGTGACTATCTCGAATGGTCACAATGGACTCCATGTACCACAACTTGCGGTGATGGTACCAGGACAAGAATGCGAGACCATTCGTGCAACAAACCAAGCGAGCTCGAAAAAGTGAAATGCAATACCAGACCATGTGCCTATTGGTTCGGTTGGTCTAATTATGGACCGTGCAGTGCTTCATGTGGTGAAGGACAAAGGGTTAGTTACACTATATTTATTTTAACATCAATAATGCTAAATCATATGTATTTAAAAACAAACTTGGAAGAATAAATTAACCTTTTTGTTCCATTCAATGATTCTTCGCCCTATTTGCATGAAGGGAATGTTGATTAGAAATTTTAAATATATTCTGACAAAGATTTTTAATATGATTTTCTGATTATTATTGAAATATAAATTATCAAAGATAAGCATTTCGGTTACGTATTTCGAGTATCGAGTGGAGGTTGGTGTAGCCTTACACATTTGCAAGGTAGAGAGACTATTAGCTTTTTATGACTATATGTAGGATGAATGTATATTATATTTTTTACGCTAATGCTCCGGATTTAAGCGTAGCTCAGAATTACTCATTGAAACTTCCGTTTTTTTGTTTGTCATTACTCAATCCAATATCAACTTTGTATGTAAAAAAGAAAGCAAGTTCAAACATTTCTCATTTATTTTTGTAGGTGAGATCCAGAATATGTATTGGTGGAAAACCAGGAGAAGGTTTATGTTTTGGTCTACCAACCCATACGGAATTCTGCGACGCAGGTATAATTGGTTTTCAAAGTGCTCATTAGTCTTGTATATTTTATGAATATTACTTGTATAACTGCGTATGTATACCCGAAACAACTAAGAGTATCCTTGTTTTGTAGGTCCGTGTTGCGAGTGGGGTTGGAGCGGTTGGAGTGCCTGTTGTACAATTCCCGCCGACGGAGATACTTATGGTGAAAGATTGATTCAGAAACGTCTTCGAGGAAATAAGTGCGGCTTGGAATACGAAGAAATTACTAGAACATGCCCGCCGGGTGAAAAACCAGTTTCAGCATGGTAAGAATTTTCTTCTTCTTCTTCTTATATATTGTCACAATCACGAGGCGCCATGGTTGCAACGAAAAAAGGATCATCTCGTATTTTCGAACCCGCTAGGGGTCAATAAAGAGTAGACTGTCGAAGTGGTGGATTTGATCTTCCGAATGTTAGATCACAAACAAAAACAATACTGGAAATTTCAGTATCGCTTTTGAAAATTAATTTTAAATAAGTTTGAAAAATTGGGATACCAAATTGTTCATGATCCCTCCTTACTTTAGGAATAGAACTTTTCAATTTATAAATATAGCAAAAATCCAGTACAATTTGTACCTTTCTCATTCAAAAACATTACTTATACTAAAAGAATATTTATGTTCTGTCACGGTTTCATTATTTAGATTGAGAGAATTTTTCAAAGGTAAAAGCAGATTAAATACCCATTCGAACCTATAGCAATATCAAGTTTTATATGATAGATAACGAATGATATTAAATAAATATGTCTTGATAATCTCGAAGTATATTTAACCAATGACAAGCTAGCCAAAGGTAAAATATAGTGAAGTACCCAACATTTGGGCTCATAACTGCTCCTTTAATTGTCTTTACAAAACTTGTAATAAATAAGCGTTTGTACAAAGTTCAAATGCAAGTTTTAAAATATTTAAAACTAGAAGATATACGTTGATTCATGAACCTTGCCTTAAGGTGAATAACAACAACCGCACGGCGCCGTCACGTAGAGCCTCGCGACATTTGACTTGTTATGGTAAAATTGGCGGAAAAGTTATATTCAAAATCCCTGTCCAAAAATAGCGTTATTAAATTATTTTTGACGCAATGTAATTTAAAAATAGCACTTTAGGCTGCGATCGATATTCTGTGATATTGCGGTAACGTCGATTGAAATCGTGTAAAATTAAATTAGGTCGTAGATTCCCTAAATAAGGGATATACCAGACATTCGAGACATGATGGAAGGCCATGTTCGTCTTAACTTTGAGTAAATATAGGCCATGTATAAAGTAGACTGGGATAGTTCAAATCAATATCAATAACCATACTTGAATGGAATATCTTTCCAGGATACGATAATTCGTTATGGGCGCTTCGGAAAAAATTTGTTAAAACCATGTTTTCTTTTACTAAAATAAAGAACACATGTTGGGTGACAAAGTATATGCTAAAAATTAAAATTATGGGTGATATTTAATGACAGAGAAATCAATACGGATCTGAGGATTCTAGGATTCATTTTATATAGTTCTAATGAGTTTTCATTCCCGTCATCGATTTTTGTTCACCATTTGAATAAAACTAATTATTTCATCTACTAATTAATTTCTAAAATTCAGAAAATTACTAATAATATTTTAATTCTTTTAGATTAGTTGTATAGATAAATATTCATTATTAAATAAATTCATTAATTAATCGATTCTTCCTAACATTCATTTTTTAAAATTAAAATCATCGATAGTCATTTGTACATCTAGACATTTTTGTTTATGATTTCATAGATAATTTCTAAGTGATAGTTTTTTTTAACTACAATCTTAATTGAAGTTTTCTTTTTAAACAAGGTGTCAATAATCTTCTTTGAATAGAATTGTATTAATACCAACGTTAACTTGGATTCTAAAATGTCTTATATTTTACATGCAAACTAACTCATTACAAACTAACTCATTAACTTCTATGAACAGTTCAAACGAGCGAAGAATATGGGTGGGAGGTGTATATTGATCAAGGATCTGCTGACAGTGACCTCAAGCATAATATGTGCTTCAGATTATCAAGATCAATTATCTCAATTTTTCATGCTCGTACGATCGATACAGCACAACGTTATCCGTTGAACTTGATATATTCAAAACCGTATTCTTTTTAAATCTGAAAAATCCGTTTCGTATAAATATCTTCACCTGATTACAGCATGTCTTGCCGAATCTCAATGTATCGCTTCATCTTCCTTCACGCGCTTGCTGACTGAAAAATGCTCATTGTTGTTTTACGCTTTACTTTATGACGAATACTTTAAATCATATTCAGCTTATACTTTCTCAGGCTTCTTTGCGCTCATGATTCTTTGGCTGTACGAATAGAAAAAATAAAGAATTGTGATTAGCTGTAAATTTTCGTATAATATAGTTGGAGCCGTTTAACAAGGCAAAAGATTTCTTGGAGCCGTATATTACATTCGAAAATCCGGATAGAAAACCGTAAAAACTGAATCGTTCAAGTATCATTGTGTTCTGATTAGTGGCTCACAAAGGAATGATTTGATTGTTTAAAAACTGTTGACAAATACTGTTCAGTCGCTGTTACTGCGTTAATCCCACCAAAACTCGTCAGAAGGGAAATAAGTTCATGCACGTGCTTGCGACAATTTGCCAAAACAATATTTATTAAATCGACGTCAAATAAATTAACTTGTGACTTTTGATACGATAGGTATATCTCATAAAATTAGTTTTACTAGATAAAAAGGTTGGTTCAATATTTAAAATTAGCTCCCAAACACCATTTCACGGAATTATTTCTCGATACAACAAAGAAGAACTGGAACTTCCAAGCAGTATTCAAAATAAGATACATCGAAAGGGCACAACTTAAAACTGTTTCGCACAATTATTTATCACAAATTTGTTGACCATTTCTAGGGTAACGTTCTTACTTGACCATAGACGTACAGATTAAATGACATAGACATGAATAAAAATTTAGCCAAAACGGAATTACCTTTTCATCGTTCGATTTAATTAAATACCGACATGTCTCCATCCACGTTTCAGATGATGAGGTACGGATATTTAATTGTAAACGACACAAAGAAACAAAGTGAATATCACTTATTACAAACAATGGGAACGTGCACAAACATACATACTCCTCTGTGACAGATAAACCTTAATATTATTAGTTTTTTCATATCTGATATTAAAAAATCCTCAACGCAAAATTACAGCGCCGCGTGGAGCATCGCGGTCGACAGTAAATTGTAGAAATTATCGTCCACTTCAGAGCAAAATTTTTCTTTTCGTCCGAATGTAAAATTTATAACATCAACTGGCAAAGCATTTTACAATCGAGGGCTAACTTAAAATAAACGTAGTTACTATATTTGTGAATCTTGGTCCGTATGCTGATGAACACTGTTGTTACACATCTATACGTAATGTATCAAAATAGCAACCTTATTGGAACGATGATGAAAAAGGGAATTGTTCTTAAGATCATTTAAAATTTGAATTAAATTAATTAATTATTATTATAATAAAATCTATTAAATCATTATTCATTTATTAAATTAATTTGAATTAGGAGTGAATTAAATATACGCCTGGTAATGAAAATTTACACCAATAACTGATGAATGAAACGTGTCACATCGTACACAAATCAACAATAAAAAATCGGGCATATTATATTGTTGAGCCGTTGAATATACATAATGTATAAAAATAGCAACTGATGTATTTTCTAAATAGAGCTGATGTATTTTCTGAGTAGTATCCAACAAAAAATTTCAACATTTATATAAATATATATATTGCTCACTGTATCTTTTAAAATTCAAAAACTATGTTTAACTACATTACCCATTTTATCCTATTACAGTAACGACGAAAGAAAGATCTGGAATCCAACGTACTAAACAAGAAATAACAAAGAATGGGACGCAGGAGTTCACATAAAGATTCCATTTTATATTTTTAAGAATTAAAATTCATCGTGTTCTCTGACTCCGGAAAATGGGAATTTTCTATGCGCATGCATTCCATACGTTATTCACAACATTAATAATTAATTGATTATTGATAATTAATTTATCCATGTTTATGTATTCACGAAATTTTCCGTTTTAGCTCTACCCCTTCCCCCTATTTACATGAAAATAGATGATGAATTAATTTTGGCAAGCGACAGTAAGAAATCATGTATTCCGATGCCTCATTTTATCCTTTTTTAAATGTTTGCGATGATATTTTATCTGATAAATGATTTTTTTGTTATTTTGACGTTTGTTGCATAAAAAAAATCTTAATCCTTACTTGTTTACAAATGCTTTGTGCAAATGTTCCAAATGCCGATAAAATCATATTTAATAAGATGAATTTTGTTTATCACAAAAAAGTGTTAATAATTTGTAATTTAGATGATAAATAAAATAAATATGAATATTGATATTTATTGAAGTTATTGTGGATTTCAGTTTATTCGGCTGTTTTCAGGAATCTGTTTTCTACGATAAAATACTCAAAACAAATTCTGAGCAGCACTAAGTTCAAACTCCGGAATCAGTATGTCCAATGAAGTGCAAATAAAAACGAAGAAAACATAAAATTACATTACGCCCAAGAAAATGTTTTTGATACGGTTTCGGAACTCGGCTCTGTGAAATCCATTTCCTTTGGCTGTTTTCATGGAGGTGCTGATCAAAACTAGTTCAAATGGGTTATTCCGAGTGACCCATATTTATTCTTGTGGTAAATATTGTTTTCTCACGCCTACATGCCGTGATTTATTTTTCGCGTTATTTTTTGCTCATAGCGTCTCATGAGTACTTGGAGAGAAAAAGAAAACGGTTACAGTTAGTTATACCTTTTCAAGAGCGGATGACAAAATATTGTGGATAAAGCAATTTACCCCGAGTTTTAAAATCGCCTGGATGATTACAAATCATCAAAAAGTAGGCCCCAGCAAATGGCGTCTCGCAGGGATGATGTAAATGAACCACGTAAACATCAAACAATATTTATCCGCTCAATTGTACCATATTTTACTCTAAAATATCTTACATGTGCAAGAATGTTTAATCTGCTCCAGCAAGTGTGTGCAACTTTTATTACAGGAAGGTCAGATACAAGTAAATAAGGGAAACCGCGGACCGCAGCCCTTTTTTAAGATGGGTTTCTATAGTTCAACGCACTTTGTTACTGATCTTACGGAATTGTTAGAGGTCGTTGCAGAAATGGTCAAAACGCATAAGTTTCTAAAGAAAACCTCTATTCAAATTTATTATCACACTGACATTAAACGAATTCAGTGAGAAACACGTTTTTATAACATTGTGCATTTTACAACAGAATTTTGTTAGCTACTTTAGCTGATATAACAGTGGCACTGGTATAGGCTTTGCGACGCAAAGGGATGGGAATTGCTCGCACATACTAGATTAACTGAACTAAGATCTCGTTTCGCGGCCACACCATTCAAAATTGGTACTTCTCCGCGGGCCGCACAATTTTTCTTTGTGAGCCGCATTTGGCCCGCGGGCCGCAGTTTACACACCCCTGTGCTATAGCATAATCATACATTTTGCTAGAATCTACATTGTGAAAAAAGGCGAATATATCACACGAAAAATTTCCCCTCCTTATAAATATTAAGAACGCAATTGTCACTCTGTCGCGTGTATACCACCGCCCACCATAGGTCACGGGTCGGCAAAGTACGTTGGCTAACACGGCTGATCTGCAATGTATGTCAGTCAAAATTGATAAATTAGGGGTTGCAATGTTTCTAAAGCACCAAATTGCGAAATAAAAATAGGGAACTTTAATAAAAAAATATTTGTAAAAACAACTAATTACAAGATCCACGGTTAGGAAATTGAAATTGTTGTAGCAGAAAAATTCATTGTTTCCACATAATTCGCAAGTAGCTTTTTGTGGAGAAGATAGGTAAACAGTTCCGTGGTTTGAAGATCTAACACGATTCAAAATTTAAGCCATCATTCATTTATTTGAAGCCCTGGCGTAATTATTTATCGTTGGCGCCTTTATCACATAGCATAATCAATCCGATTGATTTAAAATTCAGAAAATATCTTTTCAAACTTCTATTTGCTGTCATGAACCCAAACCGATCCCGAGCGCTCAACGACTAACTATGGCTAAATGAAAAAGGCATAGTGAATAAAATTTATGGCAACTGTTTGGGTTCAATTAACAAAACTTAGCTAAAAGTCTTCGAGCAATGAAGCATGGTTTTGGTAAAATTCTTGCAAATGCCACAAAAATTACCAATATTCGTAATTACATAAATATACAAGTTTCAACACCCTTGAAAGCAAAAACATGACATTTGAGTGTTTTTATGGTAGAAATACCCACTTCATAGGTTGTATGTTTAGCACGAAAAAACAATAACAAAGCATTGCTTTCTTGGTCTATTATCGGAGGTCTGTGAAATTTTAATTTAGTTTGTATCCGTTAAAATTGAAAATCTTGATGATGCATTTAGTTCGCTATTCGACAGCCGATTTTCCAGAATTTTACCCACAAGAGGCAGTTGTGAGTAATAAACATCTCGCATAATAACAAGAGTGTAGGCTCAAATATATGCACACGAAAGTCAAAGTACCACCACAATGCCAGCAAAATCCAGTGAAATTAAAATAAAATGTACCAGACGTTATATGAATGTAGATACCCGTTGTCATAAAAAGATCTTCATGAATTATAAAATCTGTAATTTCGGAGGTGGATATCGGACCATGTGAACACTTGAACTTAAATCGAAGTAAAAACTTTATATTTACTTTAATTTGAGAAATGAAAATTTAAAATCGCTTGATTCATTGGAAAAAATCGCTTTGTTCTCAGCAACATCTTCAAAAGCAAGAACAACAATTTTGCAAAGCGATCCATAAGGTTGTTTCGTGCTGATTTTGTTTTCTTTTACAATTTGAAAAAAAATTGGAATTGGATCAATATAAAAATCGTTAGATGTTTTGAAAACAATAGTTTGCTTTTAAATAGAACAGAAGTGATGGAAGTATGAAATCCTCTTCTGATATAAAATATTTTAGAACTGATTCGGGATCATTGCACTCTGTGGCGACGGTGTTAATATAAAAACGAAATGACGCAAATTTATTTCATCAGAAGAATGGCAAAACATCGAATTTTGAATAGGAGCGTACTTAAATCTAAGGTCACAAACATCCACTCAAGTAAAATAATTCGAAATTATCACTGCACACCGAAATGGTAGAAAATTCAAAATCACCGCTATGATTTTGAATTGTTCTAAAGCCTTTGTTTTGTAAAAGGCACGACACGAGCATTATAATATTTTGAAGTCGGAAATTACCCTGTAACATCATAGCCTACACAATTTTATCGACGTCCTGAATTAGACGGTGCGCCAGGAATTGAGTGTAAAGTATTACCAAACTGCGTTAACAACTAGGCGAGCGTAAAAAAAAAAAAATATATTTCAAATGTTTGATTCCATACCGCAATAGACATTAGTCAATTTTCAGCTCATTCCCAGCCAGCCACTATAAAAACAATAGGTCCAAAAATTTGAATGAAGCCGCACTCGATTTGGGAGTTGACGGTTGGTCGCCATGTAAATCTTATACACACTTCGCATCACGTTCCATAATCACAAGCGGCATGATAATACAAACAATATCCGTAATACCAGCAATTTTGCGACAACGATTTTGTATGCAGCACATTGATTACCTTGATTAGAAGGTTTGTCGTTAAGCTGAAACTAGATTAAAATAGTAGTTTACGCAATAATTGATAGGTTTCTATGGTGAAAATACAAATTACCATCCGCTTGCAGGTGAGAATTTGTCAAATTAAAATCCTGACTACTAATCACTTCTGACCACAAATGCACGACTTTTTCAGCATTTTACTTGTTAATTGCAAGCCTAATGACACGATCAAAATCTTTGAAATCCATTGAGGAAATGTTCTCCTTTCCACTTATCGAATTATTTATTTTCATCTAATTTACCTGTACTCTTTAATTAGAAAAGTAAACACAGCTTTACAAAAATACAAACAGTTGAAACTCAAATAAATAAAAACTTAGCTTATTTATATAAAAAACAACTTCAGTTTCAAAATAAGCAAATTTTGTACTAAAATAATATATATTCTTAGCACTGATTTACACCACATGCACCTGGTTTGTGGTTAGGCGATTGCAAGTCATTAATCAAAATCCCTGTACTGGAATAGACAACATAGCTTTTATCGTAAGACAAGTCTATAACCAAAAAAATAACGTGGCATATACAAACAGCTCAGCTTATACCAATTCAATTATCTATGAAGGAATAAGTACTTCACCTATTAATAATTGCAATTTACAGTTACTAAATGTAGTGAATTCTCATGCTAAGTGAAGAATAAAGAACAAACAGCGCGAACGGATGTCACATAAAATGCTATGTTGCTTAGACTGACGGCAAAATACAAGAAATACTTCCTTTACACCGTTAAATTTACGTTCCGATAACACTAAGTTCCACTTTTTGTTTAGAAGTGTCTCTCAGTGATCAGACAGGCAAACAATAGTGAAGCAAATTATTGTTTTCAGTAAAAGCACTTTAAGCATACGCAAATTTGCTTACCCTGGATAAATTTAAGCAAAATAAGGCTTTATAATAGATTTACCCCACGCTCACTATTTTCAAATTAGTGGCTTATAAGTGCGCAAAAGCATAGTTATTGGTCGAATTAGCCTTTTCGGAAGCTTTTACAGTAAATTAATGAATATCAACGGCCAGATTCGATCTTTTGCTATCATATAGATTTTAAATTTACGGCGAGACAACTGTTCCCAATTTTCGTAGAAATATTTTCACTTAATTAACATGGGAAAATAAAACGTGATGTTTCGTGGACTGTTAAAGTATATTTTGCATCTCATCTAATGCGCAGGAGAATACATTTATCTCTTCCCTGTTTACTGATACTTTCAGATCTGTGACTTTAATCACAGGAAGGGTTGGATGAAGTAATACCATTCACAAAACCAAAATGTAATCTCAAACGTAATTTGATTTGTATGGAGCCTTTGTATGAAGCTGAATGACCGTAGTCTCCAGATTCAAAATCACGCCTTGAGCCTAGAATACTGACCGCGTAGCGCAAAATTTGTGAAAGCCTTTAAAAGCCTTTCAAATTCAATCTTAGATTTCACCTCCAATATTTATAATCTGACGACCCCGACGAAAATACGAAGTGAGTTTTAAAAAAACGTTACCGGCTCGAATACCCAAAATCAGCACGCTATATAATTTGGTATTTGGAGTGGGCAAAATGTTACAACTATGTACAATACCCCGTATCGTTTTCATATTATTGGCAAATGTTGTGAAATTTAACATGTGCTTTACAACTTTTTCGTTGTCCAACCGCAAACAAACAAATAAAACA